CTAGCTTGATCATTTGTGCCTTGTGTCTTTCTTGAACATTTCCTTTTTTTTAGGATGACTTTGATATATGTTTGCCTAGTCTTGATGCATACTTTGGACTTGATCTTTGAGGCTCCTTTTTGTGATTCATGTGTTAATTCTTGGATTTATATACATGTTCATGTTGCTTACAATTTGGTTTCATACCCTAATCTCACATGTTTGATCATTTGAAGTGTATCTTGCATGAGCTAGTTGTTGCTATTTGTTTGGATATTGATGAGGTGCATGCTTGTCACTCTTGTGTTCATTTTCTAATCTTTGAATTGATTTGAACATGATATGATTTTTTTACTTCCCTACCTTGTTTATAATCTCATTTGACTTCATTTCACTTTGCTTATTGATTGATAATACCTCTTGTTGGACTTTAAGTCATTTGTGTGTCTTTTGGTACCTTGTCTTACCAATTTGTTTTGACTTCCAATCTTTGGGTATGGTTTGGAATGTGAATAAATTCTTGTTACTTTGACTTGAATTTTATGTTTATCTTGTGTGATTGAGATCAATGCTTGCTTGTTTGATGCATTTCCTTTTGAGTTGAACTTCTTGTTTGTTCTCTTTATTGCATCTTCTTCTTCATTTTTCATTTCTCTTTCTTCTTTTTCTTTTCTTGAGATTTGTTTAAGTCTTGAGCTTGCTTTCATTTTTGATTTATTAGTATGGTGTTTACTTGTGCTTATTCACATGATCCCTTAGAATTTCTAGTTCCACTTAATTTCTGATTAAGTTGGGAGTAGGAGAGACATTAAGCTTTCAATCCTTTGCATGATAACAATCAGGATAGTCCCTTTTTTACCTCCACTTTAGGCCCATCATTTGTATGATAGCATTAGGTAGACTTCCCTTTTATCCCAAACTTAGGACCATTTTGTATGACAATATTAGGATTCAGTTTCCCTTAGTTGTTTTCTTTTCAACCTTTGAGTCCTTTCTATTCTCATCTCAAAAAAAAGTTCAATAAACTTAATAAAGACAATGAACATTGTGCGCCACGAGCCTTAAGCATATGGGAAATGATGAGTGAGGGTGTCTCCTTGCTAGTCTAGAGTGTTTAGTGTTCGTCCCTTCTGGGGGTGATATGCGACGCATTCGTTCCTATATCATAAACTTTAGTGCAATGTGAATCTCAAATCAAATAAATTCACTTCTCTCAAACTCATAAACAAAATTCAAACTTTTTTATCCTCTGGGATTGTCTTTCAAACTCATTTTCAAAAAAGAGCACGTCACTTTTCCGTTCCACCGCAAACAGACATCGACCCTAACTGCTGGAATGGGAGCTTGACGTCACTCATAAAAAACACTTAACCAATCTGTGGTTTTGTTACCCGAATTATATTTGCTCTGATTTCTCATACCAGATAAGGATACGTAGGTACAAGAAGACGATGTCTTGGCGAGCAATCTTCCCCTATCACCTGTAGTTTTCAAAACTACGTTGACTCTGACTTTCCCATTATACGAGGGAATACGTAGGCATAGAGCGGCGATGTCCTATCGAGTCTCCTTTTTCTATTCCCTTTCCTGTTTCTGTTTAGCAGTAGGCTTTAGATAACACACCCTTTGGTTAGATAATAAGCATGGATCCCGTTGAGTACAACAGACGTGAGGGGTGTTAATACATTCCCCTTGCGTAACCGACTCCCGAACCCAAGATTTGGTTGCGATGACCTTGTCTTCTCCCTTTCTTTTAGGTTTTCTTCGATCGTTTCCTTTCCCTTCGTCGGGATAAATAACGTTTGGTGGCGACTCTTATGTTTTTTCCGTCGGTTGTTTTTCGCAGTTGCAAAAACGATAAAGATGTTAGGGTTTTGTTATGAGATAGACGAGTGAAAGAGATATTAGGGTTTTGTTTTGAGAGAGACGGTTGTTATGTACTGAAGCGACATATAATTTTGCTTATATATAAATAAGTAACACCTTTCACCATAATTGATAATACGAACAGTGATGAAATGATTGCACCTTACACCTTGGATGATTGTAAGAATTATGGTGATATACAAGGTCAAGCCCATTATGTCACGATAAATGAAAAATTGTTGGTGCTAAGATTTGAACCCTTTCACTTAAGGTACATTTCATTATTGTTGTTACCTATGACCATAGTGAAATGTCTTTTAGTAAATACAACAAAAAAACGCCCAAAATAGTTATTACTACGGTTAACAGGGAGGCCATTGTAAAATGGGTGTTACAAAAGGTGTATTTTGTAGTAGTGGATGACGAGCGAATCACATTTGAACGTCTACGACAAATATTGTATTTAGGTCGAAAGAAAAATGGAGGACATGCCTATATTTAAAAGGGATCGCATAATGATGACGGAGCGTATTGAAATAAAAAATTATGGCAACGTGATAGAAATTAAAAGTGTGTGTGAATGTAGATGAAACAAGGGTTTCTTTTTTGTGGATGGGTGTTTTAAGTTTTGACGCTGACAAGTTAAATTTTTCAAATAAAAAGAACTAGTCAATTAAATGAATTTCTTTGGACCAAATGATTTCATAAAATTGGCTCCAGTTCTCTAGTTCAAACATATTGGAAAGTTTCAATTTAATTTTACACCGATGTTTTTCCACCCACAGCTTTTCAAGACTATTCGAAATAGATTCATCTTCGATTTTCATTTAACTTACACAAGCGTCTTTAATATATTAAATACACTTGTGTAAGTTACAGGTATTTAAAAACTAACTCATTTATACACATTTGGATATCACTCGTGTTTTAAAAGCAGACAGAACAAACGTTTTTGGATATGAAAAGGGAATAGAAACTTCAGTCATCTGCCTGAAACCTCACCAACACAGAAATACAAGTTCAAGTTGAAATGACTAAGGGTGACAAAGACGGTCCTGGTTTCTGGTAAGCGTCCTTATTTCCCTCATGTCTTTTGTTATCTTTCGATCTTAAGGTTTTAGCGGTTATTTATTTTGGAGAAAATCTTCCTAATTGTTCATCGATTTGATTTTGATCATTGTTGTGCTAAATAATACATGATTTTGTTGTAGGGTTTTTCTTAAAATAGTTAAACTATATATCAATGTTATGAATACCATGCTTAAATGATTTGAAAGAATATTAGGAATGTAAGAACACTCGTAGTCAGAATTTTTATTTATGAATTCACACGAACTATCGCCAAGTGATTCATCAGTTGAATCTTCTTCAAATGATTCATCAACTATGTTCCTTTTCGATCTTCTTTCTTTAAGAAGTTGCTTCCTTTTGTGTCTTGCCAATGCTGCAACATTTTTCCTTTCAAAACTATGGTTGTTCATAGTATATATAAAACTCAGTTAAGCAATAACTTGTAAATCTAATATCACTTTTAGCAATTCTCTTTGATGAAAAAGTTTTGGATAATGTAATTTGATCTGCCTTGACTGTAATGGACCTCTATGTGTTTAATTTTTGTTCCTTCTCAAATATGAATGTTTGATAGATTCTTCTATTGGCTAAGTGCAAGTTGAAATCTATTATCTAACTATAATATATCTTACAGCTAAGATAATGTTTAATGAGGTATATTACCAAAGCTATATTTATTTAATTATAAGAGTATGTCATACATTAACGATTTTTACTTTTCATTTGCAGAATATGTCAGAAAAAGTAACAAATTAAATGTGACATCAACACATAAACCGTATGTATGTTTGGCAGTAAGATTCTTTATAATAGGTTTTATTAGTAGATAGCATAATAGATATAATGGTTATACAAACCTAATGCATTGAAACACATTAAAAAAGTATTGTAAACCTATAAAAAAAGTCATAAAGTGAAGTTATTATCGGTTACCAACGGGTAATAACTCTTAGAGCATCTCTAACCGTGAATTCATTTTTAGGTTTTTTGTGGGACCTATTAAGTCACGTCAGCTTGAAGCAACTCAATTATTTTTTTCACTCTAATGGTACAACTCTGAAGAATTCAGGTTGGATCTCACAACTTTATTTTATATATTAATATTTTATTCATATTAAATTTTATATTAATTAAAATAATAATTTTAGTGTTTTAAATAAACTTTGATATAAAATATAAAAAAATTAAATTAAACTTATAATTTAAAATGATAATTAAAATTAATCTCAAATACATGATATATAATTAAAAACAATAAAAATAAATAACATCACATAATTAATCAAACTTAAAATCTTCATGTCTAAAACGTTCCCAAATATATTCGACTAGATCTCCTTGAAGTTTACGATGAACTTGTTTTTCTTGAATACTTGCTCTTCTTTGTAGTCTTGTTGCAAGATTCAGATGAGTACCGCTAAATGTTTCAGTTGTTGAGTTATTGATATCCATATTATCATAAGAGTAATGAAAATTACCTCCATATGTATGCCGTTCGTCTTCCACAATCATGTTGTGCAATATGATGCAGGCATATATGGTATGCTTGAGAGTGTCCATGTGTCAGGCACGCGCTGGGCCACGTATAATTGCAAATCGAGATTGAAGCACTCCAAATGCTCGCTCCACATCTTTTCTAACCGATTCTTGATGTTGAGCAAATAATTTTTTCTTTTCTCCCTGTGGCATTGAAATAGTCTTGACAAATGTAGCCCACTCGGGATATATACCATCTGCTAAATAATACCCCATGTTATATGGTGTCTCATTGATTGTATATTGCGCATTGGGAGCATGTCCTTCCAGAATATCGTTAAACATGTTGGATTGGTTTAGCACATTAATGTCATTGTTTGAACCCGCAATACCAAAAAAAGCATGCCAAATCCATAAGTCTTGTGATGCCACTGCTTTAAGCATGATTGTGGGCTTACCATGATCACCTCGAAAAAATTGTCCTTTCCATGCAATAGGACAATTTGTCCATACCCAATGCATAAAATCAATGGAACCCAACATACCTGGAAAGCCACATGACTCTCCCATTTGTAAAAGATGTTCAACATCAGTGTTGTTAGGCTTTCTCAAATGCTCAGCGCCAAATACAACATTGACCCCTTAACAAATATTTCTAAGCACTCAATTGAAGTGCTTTCACCGATTCGAACATATTCGTCTACAAGGTCAGCAGGATACGCCAGCATACGAATAGCAGATGTACATTTCTGCAATGGTGAAAGACCCATTTTACCAGTTGCATCGACCTTCATTTGGAAATATTCATCATGATTTCCAAGGGCATCTACAATTCGAAGAAATACATGCCTATGCATTCTGAACCTTCTTCGAAATTGAACATCTGTGTATACTGGGTTTTTCGAGAAGTAGTCATTGAATAATCGATTGTCCCCTTCTTCACGACCTCATTTTAAAGTTGTTGTTCTTCATCACTGTCGTACATAAATTCTTCTTCAACCAACTCCCAAAATTCTTGATCGTAATTATCTGAATTGTCTGAATCCATTTAGTGAGTAAAAAATGAGAGAAAAATGAGAAGAATAAGATGAGAATGAGAGAATAATGACATAAGTGGTAGTATATATAATGGTTTGAATAACAGTTAGTTTGAATAACGGCTAGTTTAAATTAAAGTGGTAGTTTGAATAACGGCTAGTTTAAATTAAAGTGGTACTAATGACCATTTTACATAGGTGTTGGTAAATTAAAGTGGTACTAATGACCATTTTACATAGGTGTTGATAAATTAAAGTGGTACTAATGACCATTTTACATAAGTGATACTAACTACATTCCATATTTTTTTCATCTTATTACAATATTTTTCATGAATATCTCGTTGACTATCATTCATAGTAGAAGTATCTTTCATCATCATTTGCACTACCCTTAATTCTAGCTCGTTCTCCTTAGCTTGCGCAAGTCTGTCCATTGTTATTGCTCTTTTATTCTTTGCATCTTGCCTTGCATTTGGAATTTCTGATGCCTTACCCTTCCTTTTTGCTGCTTTTTGTCCCATTGGACGCTCCATTGGTGATGATGAGTTAAACTCATAACTTGAAGTTGTATCTGGGTTCTCCGATGATGCCTCACTAGCATAAGTCTTTGTTATTTTTGCAGAACTTCCAATCGATTCTTCGACGATGCGCCATTTAGCTTCATCTTTTAACAAACGCCATGCATACTCAAGATTGAATGTTGTACCTTGACCCTGAGCAAAAATAGCATGTGCATCTGCCATGACATTGGTCTCGGATGTCCCACTTTTCTTTCCTTTAAGAGCAATTTTGTAACACCCAACAAATTTTTGAACCATGCCATTTATTATATTCCATCGACATTTTAATTGTCCCCCTAACTTTTCCCGCAGTTGCCCACGATATTGGTTATAACTAGCAGCAATTCTTAACCAAAAACTCTCAGCCTTTTGATCAACTCCCACAATTGGATCCTTTGAAACATTGAGCCATGATTGGATAAGTAGTATATCCTCTTCCCTTGTAAATTGCTCTCGAAAAATAATATATTACATGCCTTGGTTTGGATGTGTAAATCAGAAATATCAATTTCCAACTTTGGTTTATTTAACTTATACCCTTATTTTAGGTCATTTTTGAAACTTTGAGCTACAAGTACTTCCAACATCTCATGACCTCTCTACTAGCCTTAAAACATCATTTTGAACAATTTTGTTGTTGAACATTTTCCCATTTGAGGCTTGGAAATAGGAGTTATGGCCTTATGATTGAAATGACCTATAATCTCCAAATGACCAAAATGCCCTTGACTTGTCAAAGCCATAACATGAGTTCCACAAATCCTATCAAGGACTTCTAGTACTCTCTAGAAAGATAAGAGGATAAGGAACAACATTCTTGTTGACCAAAAGTTCATACGAATCATCCTTCTAGGGTAAAAGTTTCATGCAAGTTGGACAACTTTCAAGCTCCAAATTCACATACCTCAGATGACCTGTAACTTGTCAAAGTCATAACTTGAGTTCTACAAATCCTATCAAGGACTTCTAGCACTCAAATTAATGCTAAGAGCATGCTCTACAACATTCATGTTGGGGGTAAGATGAGATGACAATCACATCTTGAGCTAAAATTCCTTGAAGATAGGGGTCAAACTAGGGGATTTTACACTGTCAAGCCTTAGAAACCCTAGCCTGAAACTTCTCAAACTCTTCAATCATGATAAGTTAACCTTGGAATCATCCTTATGACATATCAATGTATCAATCCATGATCACATGGCTCTTGTATTAGGTCTCAACTTCCTCCAAGTCTTCAGTTGACTTAGGGTTGACCCAGTCAAACCCTAGCTGCACCACTCATGGCTGAGGCTTCTTATTCTTGCACAATGACCTGTCTAGGCATCAAAGTGATCTTCAAAACTTCTCATGAGATATCTGAAGACCTCAAGTCTAACCTCATGGCTTCAGAATCATCTGATGACTTCCCACAACTCTCAAGCTAGGAGGCACACACTCCTGGTTTCAACCACTCTCTCTGAGAATCTCTTACCTTCTCTGACAAGGATATCAACCCTTGAACACTTGAATAAGCTTCTTAGCTAGCTTCATGGTCTTGTATAGCTCTTAATTGGTAATCATACCTCTTGATCTCCTGCATACATGTCAATGACCTGCAAATGATAATGCTAATGTGAATGAAATACATCATAAGCTAGGTAAAGAAATGTTGGGAAAATTTTGGGGTGCAACAGCTAGTTCATCAAGCAACGTGTCTGGGCAGTCGGATTCTTTGAAAGCCAGGAAGACAGTCCCTCCCAGCCATCTCGATTCAACGGCACATGCTGCTATAGGTGGTCAGTCCAGTGACATGGTCATGTAGCAATTCAATGTTCATGGTAAAGAGTCTCAAGCTCCTCTAAGGCAACAAGTAAAAGCTGGAAATGGAATGCCCTCTTATCATTCTCAACCATCCTCTGCAACCATGAGCTTAGGCGTAGACCATCATTCAAATGGAAAAGGTTAATCTTCTGGTTCGAAACCTGCAAAAATGCATTACAACCAACAATTAACCTAACATGTTTCCCGTGTCCAATATCTCAAGTGAAGATAATTCTCAAGATGCACAAATTTGTATTACCATTTCTAGTGTGCAAAGAAAGAAAAGGCAAGCTCTTAGTTTCTCTGCAACTGTCGCACTATCTGCTGATTTTCACAAGAAGCTAGAGCACAGTTCAATTCAGAAAAAGCAACCATTGACAAATGCTTCGGATTCTATTGAAACTCTTTCCGAGCAAGCGGGAATGAGACCCAATGCAGCAATTATTGATCTTACCAATCCATCAATATTAGCAGCCAAGATTAAGGAGTCATTTATTGAATGCACGGAAGATGATAAAGATGCCCAGTTGTATTATATTCTCATTGCCGATGGACAAGGACAGACAATAGTTTTTTGTAGGTCAATTGCAGCTCTGCGTCATATTTCTTCCATATTGTGCATTCTCGGCGTAAATATTTGGACTCATCATGCTCAAATGCAACAGCGAACGCGTTTATAGATCGTGGACCGTTTTCGTGAAAAGTAAAATGGCATACTTGTTGCCACGCCCAGACTGAGAACTTTCGTTGCGGATTTGAACCACCGGTCCTCTTACCTTTGTCCAGATATCAGCTCAGCTCACATTCAGTTACATGTTTCTGTTTTACACCAGAAAAGAAGATTGTATTTAACATAAATTTTATTTCTCAATAGCTTAAAAAGAGATTCACAATAACAGAATTTACGCAACAACTTCATAACCTCCATAACAGAATTTTCATTGAATTCCTATTCTAACCTCATTGCATCTTCTATAAATCACTACTCACATCATAATTCACGAGAGATTTTTTCGTCACCAAACTCTCAATCACCTTCACTCTTCACAATCCATTTCCTCTGAATTCACTTTTCACTCTCTCATTCTCCCTCACCAAACACTAGAGCTCTGATATCTTCCATGGTTGAGCAAGATTCACATTGAAGCTTGTTGTAAACCAGAGCTAGGACTCATCTCAATTCACTTTTCTCTCACAATAACATGACTCAGAACTCTCTGCACCACTCGCAAGCACCTAGAACTACCAGCTCGTACAACGAAAGAAAGCACTTCGAAGACGAGGCTACTCCGCTAAGTTCAATTTCGTTCTGGTTTCTTCAAACTGAAGTTGCAGTCATGTAGATTTTGGACCGAGGAGTAGAAGCCCTCAGGTGAGAGGCTTCAGTTCCTCATAAACAGCGTTTAATCTTGATTGTTGTAGTTAGGGATCTTGTAATTGTTTTCTTCGGTTTGAGTTGTAGAGCTAGAATCTGATTGAATTGGTGTAGGATTCGAATAGCGTAGAGGGATACGAGTAGAATAGGATAGGTATGGGGTGTCTCATACTCCTCCGTCGCAAGCGTTGAGTTCTGGCGTGGCGGATCCACGGTATTTCCAGCGTTGAACTTGAAGGCTTGATAGAGAAGGATCCACATGAATGATCAGTAACAGTGCATGTGAGTAATTAGTAGCATGTGGTATTTCTTCTTTTTTGTGTGTATTAGCTGAAGTCTAGTTGCCCTTACGTGAGTAATTGGGCTCCAAAGGCACTTATGACTATTTGCACCCCTGTCTTGTGTTTGCACCTCCCTGGTTAGTCATTGGGATTAAATGCTAATGCCCTAGGCAATTTGTTATCACCCCCCTTCGGTTTTTAATTAGAATTAATAGCTTTAGTTTTTTAATTTCTTAATTGAATCTTTTAATAGCTTTGGTTGATATTTTAATTTCTAATTGATTTTTTAATTTGATATTAATGGAACTTTTGTCTTTCTTTGCCATGTTCCATTAGGACCTCTAATCCTTCTTGTTTAAGATGGGTTATGATAGACATTAGGATTGAATCCATGCATGATAACATTAGGGTGGTCTTCCCTTTTTATCTCAATCATAGGTGTACATTGCATGACAACTCTAGGTTGAGTCTTAGTCTCCCTCTAGAGTGTCTTTCTCTTCTCATCTTCAAATTCTCTTAAAACACTTAATAAAGGCTAGGATTGTTGTACGTTACGAGCCTTAAGTACCTGGGAAATGATGATTGGGTGGTTGCCTCTCAATTGTCTAGAGTGTTAGCGTGTGTCCTTTGGATGATATGCGACACAATCGCTTCTAGGTCATAATCTTTAGTGCAACATGAATTACAAACAATAATCAATACACTTCTACTCTAAAAAAACACAAAAACAAAATTCAAACTTTTTATCCTTCGGGATCTTAATTTGGAAAACCTTTTTCTTAAGGAGAGTTGTGTTAACTCTTGGTTCTACCGCAAACAGGTAACTCCTAAGTCTCCAATGGTCGAGCTGCATACACCTAACTGCTAGAACTAAGTTTTAACCCTACTCGGGCCTAAAAAAACATTTGAACCAACCGATGTTCTTGTTAGCCCGAACTACGTTTTCTATGATTTCTCATACCAGATGAGAATACGTAGGCACGAGACGACGATGTCTTGGAGAGCAACCTTCCCCCACCTTCACCCATATACTTAGACAACAAGTGTGGATCCCGTCGAGTACGACGGACGTGAGGGCTGCTCATACCTTCCCCTTGCGTAACCGACTCCCGAACCCGAGATATGGTTGTGATGACATGTCTTCTCCCATTTCGTTAGGTTTTCTCTGATCGTTTCCTTTTCCTCTTTTGGGATAAATAACAAACAGTGACGACTCTTCTGTCACTGTCGGCCCCTATTCGCAGCGATGCGACAGCTGGCGACATTGCTGGGGACAGGAATATCCCATATGCGAGCCAATCCTAGCGCTTGGTTGTTTATCTCTTGGGTGTGTCTATGCGTTGTACTTTATCTTTATTTTCCCACATTTACTTTCAGCATTGTATATATCAATTTCGCTATGCTGTTGGGGGGAATGTTCCATTGAGAGATAAGTCGGACCCGGGCTTGAGTACAAACATAGCATTAGAAGTTGAAAGTAGTGGGGAACCTGTATGTTTGGCATGCACTAGTTCCCATGAAATTCGCGCTCAGACGAGATTCTCTTTGATGAATTCTTTGCTGGCCCTTTGGGCTCGAGGGGATTTTGGATCTGAAGATTGTCGACTCTGGGAACCGATCATTTGTGATTCAGCTAAGTGAGGCCACTTCGGGAGATTATGATGCCAAACCAGAAATGGTGAACGTATCATCGTTTCTCGAAAGTCTGTGATGCTGATGAATGCATAGGATGCCGAACCTTATCACTGATAGGTCTATACTTGTGAGTGGGAAGGGTTATGTGTCGCACCGCTGCGAAGAGG